ACGTCCTCAAGGCCGTGCAGCGCATCGTCAGGCAGCAGGGCCAGCTGTCGGCCGAGGAGGCTGGAGCCTTCCTCAGCAAGCTGCGGGTGAGTGAGGCTGCAGTGGGACACTGCCACCCCTCTGTCATCCGTGTATGTGACACCGCCACCACCTCTGTGTGTGTGACACTGCCACCCCTGTGTGTGACACTGACACCCCTGTGTGTGACACTGACACCCCTGTGTATGTGACTCCACCAGCTCTGTGTGTGTGACACTGCCACCCCTGTGTGTGACACTGCCACCCCTGTGTGTGACACTGTCACCTGTGTGTGTGACACTGACACCTCTGTGTGTGTGACACCACCACCTTTGTGTATGTGACACTGACACTTCTGTGTGTGTGACACTGCCACCCGTGTATGTGACACCACCACCTCTGTGTGTGTGACACTGCCACCTCTGTGTGTGTGACACTGCCACCTCTGTGTGTGACACTGTCACTTGTGTGTGTGACACTGCCACCTCTGTGTGACACTGTCACCTCTGTGTGTGACATCACCACCCCTGTGTGTGACACGGCTGTGTGCGTGTGTGTAACACCCCTGTCCGTGTGTGTGATGCTGTGTGTGTGACACCAGAGCCTGTGTGTGACACCACCACGTGTGTGATACCACAGACTCTGTGTGTGACACTGCCTGTGTGTGACACTGCCACTTGTGTGTATGACACCACAGTCTGTGTGTGACACCAGAGCCTGTGTGTGTGACACTGCCTGTGTGTGACACCACAGCCTGTGTGTGTGACACCACAGCCTGTGTGTGTGACACTGCCTGTGTGTGACACTGCCTGTGTGTGACCCTGCCACCTGTGTGTGACACCACAGCCTGTGTGTGTGACACCACAGCCTGTGTGTGTGACACAGAACGTTTGTGTGACACCACCACCTGTGAGTGACACCACTGCCTCTTTCACTGGAGGCCTCCAAGGGGCAGATATGGAAAAACGTGCCCACAAGCCCACCCCCCACAGGGTGAATACACTTTTATAACTTCAACAAATTAACATAATTGCCCAGAATTCCAATTAGGAGCACAGGTGATGAGGTCATTCCCTCATCCCTTCTGGTCCAACCCTTTTCTGGGCCCCCCCTTGGCTGTGCTTTTTTAATGGAAATGTGGCTCCAAGAGCCTTTTTTCAACCTTGGCACCCAAAATGGGATGGGGGCCCTGGAATGGGTTTGGTCTTTGTGCCTGGGAAAAGGGATGGGAAAGSTACAGAGACCAGCTATGAATACAGTAACAGGCTGTAAAGGTACAGTGTAAAGAATACTGAGAATGTAAAAAAGGGGAAGAAAAGGCAAARATSAGCCWGGCATCACGTGTRACACCACTGCCACCYGTGTGTGACACCACTGCCACCTGTGTGTGACACCACCGCCACCTCCCGCCACAGGCGCTGCACCTGCTGCCTCCCCCTGCCCAGGGAGGGTGGGGAAGGTGACATTCTGGAGGTTTTGGGTGCAGGGAAGTGGCTTGGCTCCCGTGAGGAGTGTGCTGAGTGCTTTTGGGTGCTTGTGGCAGGGTTTGTTCCCCTTGCTGAGTCTTTCCATCCAAAAATGAATTTATCAGGGCATTKTGTGGGTTCTCTCTCCAAACCTCCCTGCCTGTGCTCCCCTGGCTGAGCACAGACGATGCAGCTGAAGTTCAATGAGCCCAGTTTGGGGTGCAGACCTGAGGATGGAAGCTGGAAYAGCTCTGCTCTTCCCCAGGAGGATAACCCAGCACCATTCCCATGGGATCCCCTCTTCTGAACCACACCCCAAACCCCATTCACTCCSYGAGGGAGCCACATTTCCAGCTGGTYGTCCCCAAACTGGCTTTGGGCTGCTCATGCCCCTGCCAGCCAGGAATTCCCACAGCTGAGGGTGTCCCACACAGGGATCAGTGTGACCTTGGGAAGGTCATTCCACCCCCTCTATGGGGTGACACACAGACCCCAAACCCTTCTCTGTGTATTTGGTGCCCCCCACCAGCCGGGATTCTGCTSGGGCCAGCACCAACGATTTGCAAACATTCCCGTTTTCCCCCGTGCCCCTCTCCCGCCCTCTCTCCCAGGATGACAGCCGGTACCACGAGGATATTTTTGGAGTCACCCTGCGCACGTACGAGGTGACTAACCGCCTTAGATCCGAGTCCATCGCCTTCATCGAGGAGAGCAAAAAAGACACCGATGAGTGAGTTGGGTTTAACCCCTGCTGTCCCTTCAGGGGATGAGGGTGGGGAGGGGTGGGGAAGGATGGGAAAGGGTGGGAAAGGATGGGAAAAGAAAGGAGAGGAAGGGAAAGGAAGGGAAAGGGTGAGAAAGGATGGGAAAGGATGGGAAAGGATGGGAAAAGAAAGGAAAGGATGGGAAAGGAAGGGAAAGGATGGGAAAGGGTGAGAAAGGATGGGAAAGGAAGGGAAAGGAAAAGGAAAGGAAGGGAAAGGGTGGGAAAGGATGGGAAAAGAAAGGGAAAGGATGGGAAAGGGTGGAAAGGAAGGGAAAGGATGGGAAAGAGTGGGAAAATAAAGGGAAAGGATGGGAAAGGGTGGAAAGGAAGGGAAAAGGTGACAAAGGAAGGGAAAGGATGGGAAAGGGTGAGAAAAGAAAGGAAAGGAAGGGAAAAGAAAGGGAAAGGAAGGGAAAGGATGGGAAGGTATGGGAAAGGGTAAGGAAGGGAAAGGAAGGGAAAGGATGGGAAAGGATGGAAAAGGAACGTAAAGGGTGGGAAAGGATGAGAAAGCATGGGAAAGGAAGGGAAAGGAAGGGAAAGGATAGGAAAGGATGGGCAAAGGAGCTTTAACTTCTATGCACATGAGGTCCTTAGAACAAAAGCTGTGGAAGGCATTGGATTTTTGCTCTGGAATTGCTGTTGTCTCTCCAGGGTAAATCCCCCCAGCTTCCCAATTTATTGYACTGATGAGCTCAGACCTGGCAATCCCACCCAAAGCAAAACAGCCTTTCCCACTGCCTGCTTCCAGGCTGGAAATGGCTCCAGGTGTTCAGCTCTCCAGGCTGCTTCATGCCCCTTTAGGAAAGATCCAGAGATTTTTTCTCCCTGCTGTTGTAAAAACAACCAGAAGTTAAAAAAAAAAAAAAAAAAAAAAAAAAAAAAAAAAAAAAAAAAAAAGAAATCTTGACATTTGCTGTGTTTGTTTCTGCTCTACCAAGTCATGCCATTTGCTCAGCTTGGTCGTGGTGGGATTTTCCCTGGCTGAGCAATAGGATTATTTAGGATAAAGGCAGGGCAGCTGCATGGATCTGGCTCCTTGAGCTGGCCCTCAGTAGCCTGGGGTGAAATCCCTTCCCTGCACAGTGCCTGCAGTGGGTTTCCCCACATCCCTGAGGTGCAGTAGGAATTATTCTCCAAGGAATCGCACAGTCTGGGCTCTGGGCTGTGTCAGAGTGCCCGAGATTCCCACCTGTGAATAGGGATGAAGGTCCCTTCCTGCCCACCTCACCCAGCTCTGGGAAGCCCGAGTCAGGATGATCCCAGCTCCCTGCTCCCTCTAAGGCCGGCCTTTCTCCCCTTTCCCTTGCAGGGTTTTCTGCTCCTAACCGGACCCTGCGCCCCCAGGGGATGCCAAACCCGTCCCAGCACCTGCTGCCCCCTCCYGCTGGAGGGCACTGGGTTTTGTATTTCACGGACACGGTGGCTCCTTTCCCACGGGGATCTGCCCATGGAAAGCGCTCTGTCTCTCGTCCTGTTGTTGTGTCCTGATGATGATGATGATGATGACGACTTTCATTTCCTTTCCTTCCTCTTTCTCTCGCTCTTGTCCTGTGGCCGTTTCTTTTCACCTCCTCCCCCTCCCCTGGATTTCCCCACTGAACTTCGATGGCTTTATAACCTGCAGTGGCTCTTTTCAGAACTCCACACCTCCCCTCCTTCCCACGAGGGCATTTTGCAGCTGCATGAAATCACCACCTTTGTGATCATTTTTGGGTGTTTTTGGGGGYGAGCAGAGGTGCCAGGGGCTGAACAATGATGAGGTCTCGTTTCTTGTCCAGAGCTGGGGTTGTTCCTGCCAGGCTCCCTCATCCCCCAGCTCGGAGCGTGGCTGAATCCTTGTGTTTTCCTGGCTTTCCTTTGGATTTGGACAAACCTGGGCTCCTCCCTGAGGCTGGGGGCAGATGATGTGCRATGCCCTGGTGCCTGTGAATTTGATTCATCCCCGAGCAGCCCGGGTGCATCCGTGTGGTTTTTGATCTGATTTACATGTTGCCATTTCTCCTGAACGGGCTCTGTGCTTTGTCTCTCTTTCCCTGCCCTCTTTCCCCACTCCTCACTTTTGCTGGCACGAAAATTCTCCCACAAGCTCTAAACACCCAGGCTGAGGAAGAGCTCCCGGCACTGACTTCTCCGGAGGGTTTTACAGGGAATATTTGATCGGCAGTGGGACACACAGAGGGCTTGGCTGCACCCCGAGATGCATCACATCTGCGTGATGTGAGCCTGGAAAACCATGAGGACGGGACAGCAGCAGCTCCAAATCCAGCTGCAGGAGGCACCTCTTGGGAATCAAACCTGGAAGGCATTTGGAGGGGATGGAGGCTCCATAAGCTCAGCGAGGATGTGCCAGTGGAGGATTCCCAAAATCCCAAAGCTCTCAGCACATCTCATCAGCAGCTCTGGGACAGCACACCCCAGCCCCTTCCACCTTTTTGGGAGCAGAAAATGCCCCCACGGAGCGACCTGGCCGCCGAGAGAGCCACGTGTGGCATTTTGGGGGTGGCACGAGCTGTCTCAGCCAGGACACCTCGTGTGAGAAGGAAGGTGAGATCAGCTGCCGAGGTGCCGGGCTCTGACACACTCACACCTCAGCTCTGCCACCAAAACCCAGCCCCAACAGCGATTTGTTATCACAGCCATGGAGAGGTTGGAGAAAACAGAAACCTCGAGCAGAGAAAAGCTGTCTGCAAGGGGAAGCAAATGTGACCTTGTGTGTCCTTCCTCCCGCTGCACCCTGAAGAATCATGGAATAKYCTGGWTTGGAAGGGACCCACAAGGATCAAGCCCATCATGGGATTGAACCTGGGTGTTTTCAGTGCCAGGCTGTGCCCAGCTGAGCCAATCCTGGGTTTGTTCTCCCTCACTGCCAGGACAGCAGGGCACGGCTGCCGCTCTCGCTGGAGGCAGGGACACAGGGGTGGCATCTCGAGGTGGCAGCTGCCAACCCTCCCCTCCTGCCCTGCCCTGCTCAGCTGGGCACGGACACCTGGATGGAGCCAACACCGAACAAGGGCACAGGGAGTCTCCAAGAGCTTTCATGGGGCTGAGATCACCTGTCCTGAGCTCAAGGCAGCACAGAGAGAGCTGGGGGAGGTTTGCTGCTCTCCCAGCCCATGGAACAAACCCCGCTTGTTCCCCTATCTCAGTCATTCCCATCCTCACCCGGGAGCTCCTGCCCCCTCCAGCCACATCTCCCCGTGCTGTAACCCCTCCTGCAATCCCACTCTCCAAATCCCTGAAGCAGCTCCAGCCCAAAATCCAGCAGCACAAGGCCTCCAAGCTCTGGGAAGATTTGAGATCCTGGTCTCGTTTCTGCAGGTGCCAGCAGAGCATCCAGCACGGGCTAAAACGAATAAATGCTGCCACAGTGTGGCCGGAGCTGAGCGCGCCGGGCTGGGACACGCGGGCAGCCTGGGGACTCGGTGACCTGGAGGTGACAGCAGGAGAGCTCGGGGAAAAGGGCAGCCCGCCCCTGTGGTGGTGCCCCGATCCCATGGGATGGGAGAGCTGGGTCCCTTGGCTCGGGATGGGGGAGTTTGGGCGAGGTCCTGGCTGGGAGAAAACTCCTCGGCCCCAGAGATGGGAACACGCAGCGAGCTCGGCGCTAACCCCCAGTGTGAGGCTGCAGAAAACAGCTGAAATCAGGAAAAAAAAAAATCAGACTCTTCCTTTGGGAAAGTCTGGCTCCAGCTTTGTGCCCTGGTCCTGTCTTAGATGAAACCTGAGGAGGAGGAGGAGGTAGTGCCCAAAGAAATGTCCTTTTGTTCCCGTCYCAGCTCACCCCGTGGCGCTGGCACCTCCTGCCCTGCCCTCAGCCTGCCCCGCTGTTCCATCTCCCATGCAGAGCCCGTGTCCGGGCGGCATTATCCCGCTTTTCCCGCATCCCAAGCTCGCTCCCTCCGCCTCCCTCGCACCTGAGGCTCCAGGGAAGGCAGCAGGGATGCCCAGCCCTTCCTCCTGCGGGGTYTGAGAGGGATCCGGGCCGGGCAGGCGGACAGAGCTGGGCAAACAGCGCRGGGCTGAGTCCTGCCGAGCCCTCGGGAAGGGAAACAATGGTTTAAGGCTCCCTGCCTGGATCTGGGGGAGAAACCCCATCCTTGCCGTGGAGATGAAGCCCCCAGGGCTCTGCTCCGCTGAGCGGCTCCGCTGGCTCCTCAGCAGCTGCCCCGCCGGGAATTTGGGTTCTCTCCTTGCTGCTGAGTCAGTCTCAGACTCCTGCACTGCTCCTTTCTCTGCCTTCCGCCCGCGGGGGCTCCGCACTCCCCTCCAGCATCATTTGCTCCCCCAGTGACGRGAGAAGGAACTCGTGGATGTGCTTTATTATCCCACAAACGCGGCTCTTCCCGTCCGGACTCTGCCCGTCTCGCTGCGCCGTTCCTGACGCTGGTGCAGCCCCAAAATCTCGGTACAAACACACAGCGAGCGGGGTCTGCCCCGGACCGGCGCCCTGAGCCACCCCAGGGTGTCACACACGGAGGGGCTGTGCCTTTGGGGCACTCGGATCACAAATCTGTCACCTCTGGGTCCCTGTCCTGAGGATCTCCACCAACGCTATCCCCCTTCTTTAGCAGCTCTGCTCCTTTTTGCTCTCCCGATATTGAGGAGACTCTTCTCTGAACAGGAGATTTGGCTTTCAACACTCTACACAGGGATTTTTTGCAAAGATTTTAATTCTGAAGTCTTTCAAGCGCCCAGAGAAAGTAATTAAATGGACTTGAAAACTTGTGGGAAAAAGTTCTGTGTTTTCCCAGCCTGCTGCGTCCACCAGCAGGGAAAAATCATTCGGTGTAAGGGCACCCAGTGCCTGTGCTGGTGGTGTTTTTGGAGGTTTCATCTCCCTGGAAGGATGGCCTGGGAGTTTGTTGTGCTTCTGCTTATGTGAGACAATGGAAAAACAATGAGAAAATGGGAAAACAACAAGAAAATTGAAAAAATAATGAGAAAATGGGAAAATAATGAGAAAATTGGAAAACAACGAGACATCTGCCACCAGGAGTGGCCTCACAGAACTGTCACCTCCACATCGTGGGCTGAGCTCATTACACGAGAGGAACTGAACCAGTCACATCCAAACTGGCCAGRAAAATGGGATTTGACTCCAGGCTGTCCACGCTGCCTCTGTCCCCCCTGTGCCTGCAGGGACTGTCTGAGCAGYGGGATCTGATGTGCCCAGCATGGCCAGTGATCTTGCAGGAGTGTCCTGGGCCAGCAGGTGGGCAGGGGTGGGATAATGCCCCTGCTTCAGCCCGTGATTGCTCCTTCCCTGGTGCCCCTCACCCCATCCCAGCTCTATCCCAGGCTCCCTCTGTCCCTTCCCCATGGAGATCCCTCATTCCTCCTCCTCCTTCTGCCCAGCCCTGCCTGTCCAGGTCCTGGTGATGGACACGGACTCTGTGCCTTGTGCTGGGAATGGCTCTCGCACTCGGGGTGGGGAAATTCCCTCTGGGATAACCCAGATAATCTCCCTGAGGTGGGATTTCACAGGGGTGGAGTGGGGTGAGCTCTGTGGGGTGCAGACCAGGGCTCTGACTGCTCTCACGTGCTGGACACCCCATTCTGGTTAGACTGGTGGGGACGGAGGTCGTGGCTGTGCTCGAAGCCTCATGGACTTGCTCCCAGCCCAASCCAAAGCCGCTGCCTCCTGAATTCCAAACACCGAAACCATTCTGAGGGTTCTCACCATTTTATGGAAAGATCATTTTATGCCCAAAACAAAATTCTGGTCCTGCTTCCACCAGGGATCCATTCCCAGCTCCGGAATTGCTCTGATAACTCTGCAGTTCTGGTGATAGCTCCAGAGGGGAGCCCAGTCCCTCCGCAGAACAGATGGAGATGCATTTCCAGGACCATTCCACTTCGCTCTAACTCCGTGTTCGTTGTGACAATTCCTGCCACTGGAGCAGGGAGAGCAGAATTTTTGCAAACCTGTGTTCCTGACCTTGGACAAAATTTGAATYTGAGTCCTCCCAGATCCAAAATGCCTTCCACACCCGATGGCTTCGGTGGCACCGGGGATTTCGGCAGCTTGCACAGCAGCAGCAAATTCACAATATTTTACGTGTGTCAATCTGCACTTGCACGTGCCTGCAATGCATGGCTCCAGCAATCCCTGGGAAATCTCCCCTTTCCCAGGGAGATCCGAGCTCCAGCTTCTTCTGTGTGTGTTCAGCAGGGAGCCAGGGGAGCGGAGAAAGCTGTGCTTTAAAGCACTCAGCTCCAGAAGTAAAACAGAAAGTAAGAAAGGTCAAAACCACCGTGATTTTAGCACAGGGAGACTCGTGGAATATTTGAGCATTGTGGTGCAGATCCACCTTTTTTTTTTCTACTGGGAAAATTAAGTAGATTGGAAATTCGTGGCCTCCACCCCTACAGATGTTTGGCTGTGATGGAAATTTGAGCCCTGGAATCACAGGGGAAAAAAAACAAACAAACAAACAAACAAACAAAAAAAAACAAACAAACAAAAAAAAAAACCCAAAAGGTTGTGAGCTCATAGCTGAGCAGTGGCAACACCTCCTGCCTTACTCATTTGTGTCCTACCTGGCCAGATTTTGGGGAGGAAGAAGGGGTGAAGTGGCTCCAAATGAGMAAATCAAACCTGAGAATTCCTGCTTTATCAGGGCCAAGGCTTTGCAGCTACTCCTCGCTCCTGCCATGGGAAAGTGGGATTGCTCCCGTATCCATGATCTTTCAGAGAGCTTTCAGAGCTGTTCAGGAGCTGTGGAAAAACAGGAATGCAGTATTGGGAATGCAGGGCAGCTCCTGCCCAGCTCTCTGCAGTGCTGGTGCAGGAATCTGGRAGTGAAAAACACCAGGCAAAGCATTTTCCTTCCAGGGGCATCCTTAATACCTGGAAGATTGAAAGGCTGGAAAAGTTGATCTAAAAGTTGATCCAGAGCTTCTTTTTGTTGCTTTGTTTCCATGAGCTGTTTTTTTGGGGTGAGGAAAGCAAACAGAGAGCAAAGAGCCAAATCAAATTTGGATTAAATCAGACATTTTGTTCCTACAATAACTGCTAGCAGAGATTTAAAAATTCATCAAGGGCAACAAAACAGCCTTAATTAACTGAGACATTAATACTCCTTGCTTCTGAGCCGGCTTCTTTTGTTCTCCTCTGTGTGATCRTGGTGTGGAACCCTTCCTGAACAAAACCCACTCCCCAGCAGCCCGCGGGATGTCCAGGAGCAGGAGATGGGGCTGGAGAAAAGGGAGAAAAGCAAATTCCCCGCTTTGCTCGAACCTTACAACGCAGGCAAATCCCCAAGGTTGAATTCCCGTGCTCTGCTGCCTCAGAATGCCCTGYAGAAGCCCGGGCTCTGTGTGCTTTGTGAGTAGTCTGCAGCTTTTCCAGAGCGCACACGCGATTCCCCAGGCACGGCACGGGATGACTTTCAGCCGGGACTCGCTGCTTTTTCACATTTCACYGAGTTCAAAGCACAGGTTCTGCCAGCTGCCCGGGGAATCGGGTATTCAGTGCCAATTAATTTTTGTGACAGGAGCGGGGATTTCTCCCCTCGGCTCCTCGAGGCACCTTTAGTCTCAGACTCAGAGGTTGGGTTGGATCCTTYCATTTCCCGGTGGCCTTTTCCCGAAGAGCAGCGGTGCCACGATGAGGATGGGGAACAGGGCTGGGAAGGGTGCCAGCTTTGGGGCAGGCAATTCCTAAATTTCCCASTGTCAAATCTTCAGCTGTGGGTTAATTCTGCCGGGCCGGGTGGGGCTCCAAGCCGTGGCTGCTCTCTGCTCCTCCCTCCCTCGCTGCCCTCATGTCACTGTGCCTTCATTTGCTCGAGGAAACAATGCCATGAYGGATAACTGGCATTTCTTGTCTTTACCCTCACTTTGCATCCCATAAAACAGGCRTGTGGGGAGCGGAGGGAGCTCCTTCCACAGCTTTTTGTGCGACCCCAAGGAAGGTTTGTGCTACAAAACCAAGGGGTGGGGTGAGCCCGTGCCGTGTGTGACCCCGCCAGCGCTTCAAGCAGCCAGAAACGCGGCTCTTCCCCCACCTCCGAGCTCTCAGTGCTGCTAAAATCTCTGCTAAAATCCCGCCCCGTGCTCCAGCCCCTCTCTCAGACTGACTCTGGCTCTGTTTGCGAGATCCCCACGTTGTTCTGAAGCATGCACCTCTCTCTGTATAGTCCCGATCTTCTGATTTTATGGAATTACTTATGCCTGTTTGCATTACGGTCAAAATAAAAAAGTGAACTCGGGAGCCAGCAGTTCTGCTCCTCTTTTGAATTTTTAACACCCACAAAGGCTGCTCGAGGTCTCTGCTCTGTCACCTGTACGGTCGAGCACCAGAAATAGCGGTGACAAGCAGCAGGAGCTGCTCACCTGCCAGACAGAGACCTGAGTCACAGCATTCCCAGTATTTATCCCACATCCTGGGGGAAATGTCACAAACTGTGCCATCCTGGGTGGGTTCTGGAGCTGGAGCCTTGGGAACACTAAGAAAGGACTCCAGGCAGGAGCTGAGAAAACTGGGAATGGCAGAAAGGGGCCAGGGGAATGAGGCAGGAGGGTGGACACAGTTTTTCCCATGGGAAAAGGGTTTTCTGTGTTAGGGGGATCTTTCCAGTCCTTGAAAGGAGGTTAGGGAAAAAGAGGGAGAGGGGTTTTTGATCTGGGCAGGGAAAGGTTTCCCGCTGCCAGAGGGCAGAGATAKGCAGGATTTGGGGAAGGAATTGTTCCCTGGGAGGGTGGGGAGGCCCTGGCACAGGGTGCCCCCTTTGGATATCAATACACATGGATAGGGCCCCTTTGGGCACCCCTTCAGATATTGATACACATTGATGAGATCCTCCTGGAACCTTCTTTTAGCTATTGATACCTATTGATAAGGCTCTTCTGACACATTTTATTAGATATTGATACACATTGATGAGATCCTTCTAGAACTTCATTTTAGATATTGATACCTATTGATGATATCCTCCTGGTACCTCCTTTTAGATATTGATACACATTGGTGAGATTGTCTGTAACTTCATTTTAGATATTGATACACATTGATGAGATCCTCCTGAGACCCCTTTAGATATTGATACCTATTGATGAGATCCTTCTGGAACCTCCTTTTAAATCTCGATTCCTATTGATGAGATCTTCCTGGCACCTTTTAGATTTTGATACACATTGATGAGATTGTCTGGAATTTCATTTTAGATATTGATACCTATGGATGAGCTCCTCTGGCACCCCTTTAGATATTGATACCTACTGATCAAATCTTCCTGGAACCTCCTTTTAGATATTGATATATATTGATGAGGTCCTCTGGCACCTTTTTAGATATTATAACTATTAATGAGATCCTTCTGACACCTTTTAGATATTGATACCTATTGATGAGACCTCCTCCGTGCACCCCTTCAGGTATTGATACACAATGACAGGTCCCCTTTGGGCTTTCAATATTGATCCACACTGATTTTTATACATATCGATAGGTTCCCCCCCTGCACCCCTTTCAATATTGATCCACATGGATCAGGTCCCCTCTGTGCACCCCTTTAGATATTGATTACACACTGATAGGTCCCCTTTTGGCAGCTCTTTTTCAGTATTGACACACATTGATAGGGCAGCCCCTTTCGATATTGATACCATTGACAGATTACCCCTGTGCATCCCCTTTTCGATATTGACGTACTTTGATAGGTCCTTTTTGGGCAGCCCATATTAGATATTGACACCCATTGATAGGTCCCTTTCTGGCACCCCCTTTCAGGTATTGATACACATTGATTGGCCCTCTCTGGGCACTCCTTTCGATATTGAAACACATTGATAGGCCCTCTTTTATTACCCCATTTTTGATATTGATACCATTGACAGGTCCYCCTGTGCATCCCCTTTTCAATATCGATACACATTGATAGGTTCCCTTTGAGCACTCMTTTTTTGATATTTATTCCTATTGATGAAGTCCCCTCTGGGCACCCCTTCAGATATTGATACACATCGATGAGGTCCCCTTTTGAGGYCCCTTTTTGGCATCCCCTTTTTRATATTGACACATATCGATAGATCCCCTCTGTGCACCCCTGTCTGATATTGATACACATTAAAAGATCCTCTCTGTGAACCCCTTTTTACATCCCCTTTGGGCACTCCTTTCGATATTGATACACATCGATAAATCCCGCCCATGCACCCCCATTTTGGTATTGGTTCTATCRATAGGTCCCCTSTGGGCAGCCCATATTAGGTATTGATACACATTGATGAGGTCCCTTTTTGGCATCCCCTTTCTGATATTGATACACATCAATAGATCCCCTCTGGGCAGCCCATTTTAGATATTGATATACTGATGGGTTCCCCTTTTGGCACCCCTTTTGAGATATTGATAGACATTGATCGATCCCTCTGGACACCCCTTCAGATATTTATACACATTGATGGGTCCCCTTCTGGCACCCCCTTTCTGATATTGATACACATCAATAGATCCCTTCTGTGCACCCTTTTCCAATATTGATATACATCGATAAGGTCCCTCTTTGTCACCCGCTTTCCAATATTGATACACATTGATAGACACCCTCTGCGCCCCACTTTCCGATACTGATACACATTGATAGATCCCCTCTCTGCACCCCTTTCCGATATTGATACTCATCGATAGATCCCCTCCTGTGCACCCCTTTTAGATATTGATACACATTGATAGATCCCCTCCGCGCGCCCCTTTTAGATATTGACACGTATCAATATATACTCTGTGTGTACCCCTTTCCGATATCGATACACACTGTCAGGTTCCCGCTGTGCCCCTTTCCGATCCCGATCCCGATCCCGATCCCGATCCCGATCCCGATCCCGATCCCGATCCCGATCCCGATCCCGATCCCGATCCCGATCCCGCTCCCGATCCCGATCCCGATCCCGCGCGGTTGTCACTTGTCAGACGCTCCCTTGGCCCGCTCTTCGGCCGGCGCGGAGGCCGCACTTGGCGGACGCTCCCCGGGCCGCCCCTCCCCGGAAGCGCCGGGCGGCCCCGGAGCGCAGGTAAACAGSCAAGATGGCGGCGGAGGCCGCGGGCCCGGCGGGGTCTGGCGGCGGCGGCGGGACGGGCCTGACGGACCTGCCGGGCGAGCTGCTGGAGCTCATCCTCTGCTGCGACGTGCTGGGCGCCGCCGACATCGGCCGCGTGTCCTGCACCTGCCGCCGGCTGCGTGAGGCGTGCCAGCCCCGCGGCAAGGTGTGGCGGGAGCGCTTCCGCCTCAGGTGGGCACCGCCGCACGGCCCGGCCCGCCCGGCGCGGCTCGGAGGGGAGGGAACGGGCACTCCCGGGGCTKGGGGCACCGGGGATGGCCGGAGCCGCCCGGGCCTGGCAGGGGCGCGTGTGTCGGGGGTGATGGAGGTGCTGCCGGTACCGCCCGGTCCCTGCGTGCCCTCCCGGCTCCGTGGTGAGCTCCTCACGGGCTGGATGAACCTGCGGCGCTCTGAGGGGAATCTTGGGGGCGCAGAGCGGTTTGGGTGGGAAGGGCGCTTTAAAGCCATCTCATCCCACCCTCTGCCTGGGGCAGGGACACTTTCCACTGTCCCAGGTTGCTCCAAGTTTATCCAGCCAGGCCTGGAACCCTCCCAGGGATGGGGCAGCCACAGCTTCTCCGGGCAGGTGTCCTGCACTTCTCCAAGGACTTCTTCAAGGCTGCTTCCCCTCCCAAATCCCGTGGGGAGGGATCAGTCTGTGCCTGATCCCCCTTGGCCAGAGATCAGTCTCGCAGCTCTTTCCACACCGGACACGTGGATTCCCTGCATTCCCAGATCCAGCCCGGAGTCTGGCAGTGGGTGCCTGCTCTGGGGTTGTGGATTGACCTGCCTGACCTCTCCAGAGCTCTCAAAACAGCAGCCAAGACCCATCTCAGGACTGATGCTGGACAGCAGAGAGCTTTTATTCGTGTGGGTTTGGGGAGAGCTGTTTKCACAGATATCTAAATCCCTAGGATGGGATTTTGCTGCTGTTTTGTTTCCCCCAGGGGCAGCCTCGGGTTGTTGTGCTCAATGAAACTTTGTATTTTAGCTGGGGATCGAGTGTGGGTTTGGTATTGGCGATGCTGTGCTGGTTTCAGCCACCTCCACTTATCCCTGGAGCCTCCAGGACAGCACCTGCTCATCTGTTACCTGCTTTTGTTTGTTTTGGCACAGAAAAAGCAGCAAAATTGCTTTCCCCAACTGCCAGTTGGCTCCTAAAATCCACTACAGCCCAAATGAGGGGCTTATTCTCTTCTCACTGCATGGAAAAAAACTGCTGAACAATGACAGCTTCCCCAGCCCACCAAGCCATGGCTCTGGGATTGGCTTGCACCAGTTCAGTGGCTGGAATTCCTGCAGGTTTGACCCTGGTTGGGATCCAGCAGCTGGAATGGGATGTGGTGGGTGAGTCGCACATCTCCTCCTCTCTCCTTGATAATGGAATTTTTGGCAGGAGGTTTCACGCTGACCTTGCCGTCCTGGCTGGATTCCATCCTGAGGAATGGCACTTTAATCTTCCTAAAATTCTCAATATTGCTTCAACCCCAGAAATTCTCCTTTCTCRTCCCAAAATAAAGGATTGTGATGGTTATTGTGAGGTGGCTGCATTTCAGCAGTAGCTGAAAGGCCAGGGATTCATCAGGAGAGAGGYTGTTATGTAATGTGAGGTTGTTTGACTTTATTTTGTGAAGGCAATTGCAGGGGAGTTTTATTATTAACCAGCAGTGAAATATCTTCCCAGTGTGGTTTGGACACTGGTAATAATTTTTGTACAAGAGGAGTGAGTTCAATATTTGGCCTTCTTTGTRTTTAGCAAATTAAATATAGACATATGTAACCTGAGAAGAATCCAGAAGAATTTAGTGATTTAAGCATTTGGCCTTCCAGCTATTTATAAAATGGAATATGTTTATCAATATATACTTACATAATCTGAAAAGAACCTGAGACGATCCCATGGAGTTGAAGGAAAATGTAGTGTATAAACCAGTAATAATGAACAGCATCTCAAAATGTGGAATAAATGCCCCTGCAAATTGAAAGAAACATTTCTTTCAGCTTTCTTTTCAAAATATTTCCATCTGTGCTGATTCTTGTTCGTGTTTCTCACACAAATGATCTTGGTGCCTTCAGAGCAGCAGGAGTCGTGGTGCTGGCACATATTTGGTAGCACAAAGCTGTGTTGTGGCACCACACACCCACTTTTTTCAAAAAGGTGCTGCTGACAGCCCCCAAAACATGACCTGAAATGGGATTTTTAGCTGAACCTTGAAATTCTGAGTAAGCTGTGAAGTGTGTGGACTTTGAACCTCAGTAAGGGAAGGTTTTTTACAAGACAACTGTGAGGGTGTTTTGGTTTTTCTTCAAATAATTATTTCTTGTCTCGAACCCAAACTGCAGAAGCATTTGGCTGTCACAATACGACTCCAGGATTCTGTTTTCTCCAGTAGATGTTGCCACCAGCAAGGGCAGTGGAGGGAGCTGTKCTTTGTGCAGCCTTTTAATGAGCTCCCTGAGGTGGTAGGAAGAACGCAGGACAAAGAATTCCCCTTCTGTTCAGTGCCAGGTTGGCTTCCACGTGATCCTTCTTTGTGGTAAACTCTTTTAATTATGAAACTGAAGCRTTTAGGATGTTTAGATATTGAAATCCTGGAGTGGGAGCCTCTGAAGGTTTCAGGAGAGCTTGCTTTTAAAAAATCATTAAAACACAGCTGAAGTCAGGGGGATTGTGCTTTGATGTTGGAGGCAGTTTTATACAATCCTTTAAAGTTGGGCACTGTCTCAGCTCAGTTGTCACGTGGTCACAATTTCCATTCTGGAGGGGTTCTCAGGGATGTGAAACTTTAATGCTGCTGTGGATTTGTGTGTGTTTTGCAGGTGGCCATCCCTGCTGAAGTACTACAGCCACACGGATGGCATCAGCTGGCTGGAGGAGTACAAGGCACGGCACAACGCGGGGCTGGAAGCCCAAAGAATTGTAGCTTCCTTCTCCAAAAGGTTCTTCTCAGAGCACGTGAGTCCTCCTCTAAAAGGATGTGCGTGCAACAGCCTGGCAGCTTGTTTGATTAATAATAATATAATTATTAATAAAATCATTAATTGCATCATTAAGGTTGGAAAAAGCCTCCAGAATCAGTCCAACCACTGAACCATRTCCTTAAGCTCCGCATCTGCACATCTTCTGAACCCTTCCAAGGACTAATTCCACCACTTCACTAAGCAACTTGTTCCAATGCTTGACATTTCARTTAATAATTGAATTAATTAAATTAATAATTTTTTCCTAATAGCCAACTTAAACATCCCCTGGCACAGCTTGAGGTTGTTTCCTCAATGCTGGCTGAGCGGTCACATCAGGAAAAAAAATCCACGTCTTAAAAAAAAATTCCTAAACTATCTGAAAGTTGTTTGTCTCAGGTAGTTTTGCCTTTTTAAGGATTTATTTATTATTATTATTTATATTAGGACAAGGTTGTTCTTCCCTCAGAGGGTTCTGGGCACTGACCAGGCTGCCCAAGGAATGGGCATGGATGCCTGAGGATGCCAGAGCTCCAGGAGTGTTCAGACAATGCTCTCAGGGATGTGGTGGGATTTTGGGATGTCTGGGCAGGTCCTGGAGCTGGACTGCRTGATCCCTGTGGGTCCCTTCCAGCTCAGGATATTCCATGATTATATAATGATTCAAAAATTTGCCTTCATGGATGGTGATCAGTACTTTTTCTTTGTTTATTTTGCCCCTCTCTCCCCATYGCCTCAACTGCGCTATCAGAGATTTTGTATTTCCTGACTTTGTGTGACAATCAGCCAAAAGGGGAGAGAGTTCAAGCCCCAGAGGTGTGTAGAGTGCAGCACACTCTGTGATTGCCTCAGCCCTGAAAGCTCTTTGCTTTTTGCTGCGAGTTCAGCCCTGGCTCTGGGAATTGTGAAGGCCACTGAGTTTGTTGACACAAAGCACAGCTGCCGAGTTCCTCGCTGCAGACCTTGTGCAAGGACGAGTTCTGAGAGCTGTCACAAGGCCTTTGAAACCAGGAGCAAGGCACAGCAGGGCCACTCGGCTGGAAAGGGTGTTTTTGAAGTCCTTCAGCCAGCCRTGACCCCGAGGTGCTTTTGTGTTCAGTGGGAAAAAGGGGAGAATGTCTGAGATTGACTCGCACATGGAACAGGAGTTATTTGGCTGTTTGCTTAGAAGGTRGCTGTGGATTTTAGCAAGCTGTACAGCTGGGTCAACCTGGAATTCTGTGAATAAAGCATCAATAGTGCCTGTGATTTTGGCTAAATTGAAAATTTCACACGAGAGGCACTAAACAACCCCCCTCCCTCAGTTCTGTGCAAAAATAACATGAAAAAGGAAGGCAGTGGAGCCAGGTGGGTGTTCGTTGTCCCCTGGCTGCTCTGTTTTGCAGCAGCCAGACATTTGTCCATGGAGAATTGTCAGAGAAAAAAGAGGGAGAATAAACTCCTGGATTCCTCCTGTTTTAATGATGTRTGCAAAGACTTTGGAGAGACCATTAAGCAATACCCAAAGGCCTAATAATGAGTCTCATCTCCTGTGGGGCCAGAAACTGCAGCTTGGTTCCCTGCTCAGAACTGACAAGAAGAGGCTTTCAAACCATAGATGAGCCCATATTCTATAGTGAAAAACCTTGAGAGCCATTTTTTTTTTTTTACAGTTCAACCAAAGTTTAAAAAGTACTTCTGGATTCTGGAAGAAAATAGCTGCTCTGAATATAGATGCAYGAGTGGTTGTTGCAAAAAATAAAGGCTCGTGCCTCTTTATCCCTTCAGCCAGGATTAATCTCCTGCACAGGGGGTTGTAGGTAGAGGTTTGGTCAACCACAGGCAGAAGTTGATTCCACTTTAAAATTACTTTGAGCTTGTGTCCATTGTGCATACAGTGTGATTGTGCTGGTCCTGAACTCACCATCAAAGCCTCAAATGCTGTAGAATTTGGCTGAAATTGCTGTAGGATGTTCCTGGAATTCTCAATTGAATAATAAATCCATGAGTACAGACTGTAACTATGTGGTGGGCAGGACATTTTTAAGATCTTGCCTAAATTTAAACAAAAACCAGGACAAAATTGGTTTTGAGACATTTTATGGAGTTAGGGAAGAATCTTTTGTGCTGTGCATAATTCCTTGTCTGATTTGGCAGGTCCCCTGTGATGGATTCAGTGACATTGAGACTCTGGGCTGCCCGAGCCATTTCTTTGAGGATGAGCTGATGTGCATCCTGAACATGGAAGGAAGGTAAGAGAGGGGTGAGAAATGCCAGGGATTTTCCTCTTTTGCAGCTCAAGGAGAAGAATGCTGTGGTTAATGCCTRACCTCAGCTTCTGTCCTTGGTCTTTAATTAAACAACACCCCCAGGCTTGCCAAGGCCTGACTGCAGAACAGATTGAGTGTTTCCAGAAAAAAAACATGGAAACCTCATCTCACAAGAAGAAGATCTTCTGATTTTGTGTTGCTTTTTGTTGTTGATTTCTTTGCCAGTTCATGGCATCTCTTGGCACATGTCCAGTGTCCCCTCAGCTCTGCTTAAGCAGTTCCCATCCTCTTGTTCATTTTTGATTGAGTCTTGAATCAGTTTGCTGAACTGATCTGCAGGATGATGCCGGAGCACCAGAGGGAAACAGGAATCCTTCAGGATTGCCACCATGACTCCCTGAACCATGAAATTACAGCTTTTTCTTTGCTTTTCAGAGCTGGAGTAGGTACAGTTTTTATCTGCAAATAAGAGCTGAGTTTAATTCAACCACTGCAAAATTTACAATCCTGTAAATTATTCAGACAGGTGAAATAGAACTCCTGCTTTGCATCTGCCTGGGTAATCTCATCACCTTGATTAACACTGGGCAAGATRAGTAAATCCCTGCTTTATTGCAAGGTTTTTCTGCAGGTACCACCAAACCAGGCTGGGTTTGGTGYGACACAAAGCTGTGATAGATTGCTCTTAATGGGATCTAACAGCTTTGGAAAGAGGGACTGTTAATAGAGCTTGAAAAAACCCAACTGCMATGGCAATCACCTCGTTTTTGTTTTTTCTCCACCATTTTATTGCTGTCTCTATTTGAGCTGGGCCTGAGCAKCTCTCATTTGACAACTGCTTCAAAAGCTTTTGTGGCTTTGCCCTGGCCAAATGCCTCCYCATAAAACAGAATTGATGCTAATTACACCCTGATTAAGCTGCAGCCATCACCATGCAGGAGCATTAGGCTAAATCATTTCCCTGGAAGGTATCCCAATAAAGCAGTTGTCCCTATTGAGGATCCCAGTTTATTGGGAGAAGATAAAGAATTATGAGGTTTGATTTCCCTGCTGTCCYGGAGAATGGAGAGGCTTTAGAAAGTGAGGCAGCTTTGCTGTAAAAAGTTTAGAAATTGTGTCATCTACAGACCAACTGTTGATCTCTTCCTGCCTTTTCAGAGCAACAGAGGTTTTCTCTGGGGAATTTTGTTTTTCTTCTGAATGCTATTGGACTCCCATTCATATCCCTCATCAATCTATTTTTAATGCTGAGAGGATGCTTTAGGATTGACTCTGGAGAGATGCAGTCAGACAGAGGGTAATGTTTTATGAATAAAGAGGAGGATTTTAATCAGATATTCCTGAGCTCCTTTAATTACGATCTGTGTTGTTTCCCATGATAATGCATCTTCTCAAAATTRCATCTCAGTGATAGGATGAACATTGGAAATGATAGGAGCAATGTTTTGCAAGTTGTGTTGTTTTTTGTGATAAATTTTCTCTCAGCATTTCCCTTTTCATTTGACTCTCAATGACAATACCTGTTGAGAAAAACAGTAGTCTAAACTGTAAACTCATATTCCCTGGGAAACTTAAGTCAACTATTCTCCCTTCAAATACCTGTTTAGGCCAATGCTTCTTCTTGTGTTTACCTGTGCAGGAAAGGCCTCACCTGGAAGTACTATGCAAAGAAAATTCTGTATTTCCTACGGCAACAGAATATATTAAAAAACCTGAAGGAGTATCTGCAGCGCCCGACGGAGCGGCAGTCATTTTTGGAGGGTGAGTCTTTGGCAGAAAGCCCAGCCAGAACACCTAATGACACCTTTCCATCATTGTTTGACTGGGAAGGAGTCTGCCTAGCTTAGATTCCAGCAAGCCCTTGGCTAATGGCTCAGAATTCAGGTTGGATTTTGGATGTGCCTGGAATACTTCCCATCCCACAGCAGCGCTGCATCAAAATGTCAGGATGGCGTTAGGTCCTGTCAGTGCTGTGTGCTTGAAGAATTRCCCATGGACAGCTGGGCTGGGAAGCAAGGCAGAAAATGGTAAAAACACTGCAATCTTGAGCAAGGTGCTGAGAAAATGAGTGTAGCTCAACATCCTAATGATTGACATTGCTGCTGTGGGCTCTGGACTGTTTTCAGCTGAGCTGATTCCCTGTCAGCTCCCTGCTTTCCCCTTTCCCAAGAGCTCCTCAGAGAAGGACAGGGAGCAAACAGAAGGAATTGATGTGGTGTGATGGGTGCTGTGACTGTCTCAAAAACTGATRCTTGATGGAAATAGATGCAGGTTCAGGCACATGGTGGGAGGGCACACACACCTGCTCAGAAGAAAAAAAAAGCTCGCTCTTCTGCTTTTCCTGCTCTTCACAGCCTCAGTCTGGTGGATTATTCTGCTTCTCAGTCTTCTGAACGGCTCAGAAGCTGCCAGTGGCTGCAGGAGTGTCCCTTCCTCTTTGTCCACTCCRAAATGTCCCAGGGAAGAGTCTGTAATACCAAAGCTGGTTCTGGTTAATGCAACAGCCTTTGAAGGAGGGGTTGGTAGGGCAAGAAGGGAAAGCAAAAAGTGGCCTTTTCTAGAAAAAATACAACTAATTATGAGACTTAGTCATGTGTGTGATAAATATGTGTAATTTGTCTGCCATGGAGGTGCCTTTGGAGCACCAGCAGGTGGTTTCTTTCTGACCAGGGAAGTTTCTTCTTTCTGACCAGGGAAGTTTCACCTGGTCAGCACAGGGAATACTTTGAGGGGACAAAAAGGAGACATGGCTTGGGGCCCTGCTAAATTCCTTGATTTACAGGCCTGTCGTGGATGTGCTGAAAGAGCTGTGTGGGAAGCTGGAAGAGGTATGATCCATGYAAAACCTTACAGCTGATTCCAAATGCTGGACAATAGCAGGCTTTGGAGAGAGCAGTGGTGACAAAGGAGAAGGTTCTGTGAAAAGGAATTTCTTTCCTGCAGAGGCCTGGGTAGGAGGAACATGAAAGTTTGTTCTTTCATGTTTTGTGTTGGGAACATGGAGAGCAGGTGTGGAAGAGAAAGATGAGCGTAGCAGGCAAAGAAAAACTGAACAAGAATGACATGGAGGATGTGACAGGGAGAAATCAGAACTGCAGCAGTTTGAGTGAAGTTATTTCAGGCTCTGAATAAAAACCGCTGTAAGTTGGGAGGATGCCAGGGGCTGCGGTGTGACCGCAGAGCTGATTAAACCTGGCCTAGCAGCATCCCTGCTAAATGCACAGATCCCTTTCAGCCTGGTGGAGAGGGGAACACTGAATTCAGCTGGTAATTGATCGTGTCAGCTCATTCTGTGCATTTGGTGTGATAAATCCAGTAGATGACTGCAGGTTTCAAGCACAGAGCTCTGTTGTTCTGCTGCAATCACTTGCTGCATGCCTGGAATGCAGAGCAGGCAAAACCAARCAAAGAAAAAAACTGAAGTGGTGTTTCTTATGCAGTTTGTTTTTTGCAGGTGCTGTTTTGATCGATCAGTACTGTAACCCCCTGTCTGACATCTGCCTGAARAGTGTCCAGGCACAGGTGGACGATATCACGGACAAAGTGCGCAAAGTGCTGCGGACCAAGAACCCCAGGCACCCCAGCGTGGCTTCCAAGGCAGGTACTGTACAGAAAAGTGCTTCCCTGCAGAGTTTCCCTGCCCCTCTGCACAGGTGAAACAGCTGTGGAGTTGTGGCAGCTTTAAAGAGTTTTGTTTTTATCCCCCAGCAAACAAAATTCTGACATTTACCTGTGCCACCATTCAGGAATCAGTTGTTCAATAGCCCGGGGTTCAGTCTGTCAGGTGCTGTCTGGGCCAAAAGGATTGGGAGGGGAATTTTTTTTTCCCATTTGTATCTGAAATCTTAATAGCCCTGATATCTGTGGGACAGGGAAACAACCTCTTTTGTGCCAGTCTCAGAAAATCATCAGTAGGAAGGTGCCTGTTTATAATTTCCGAAGGTCAGACAGCATCTTGCTCCTTGGTGTTAYAAACACTGTGAAATTTCTGGCTTTCAAGAAGAAACTGAGCCTGTCCATGTGAAGATTTCATTGAATGAAGGTTGAGTGCACTTGTTCTCTCAGTCTTGATTCYCTTGCATGTGTTTCCAGGAGAGGTTCTCGTTCCAGAAGTGGAGCTTCAGAGACAGGTGCTTGATGCCATGAACTGTGTGCTGTATGAGCAGCTAAAATACAAAGGAAATGAGCTGGATTACTACAATTCCCTGAATTCCTACATTCACCAGGTATGTGTGTGTCAGGCAAAAATTGGGAGGCTGCAGGACTTGAGATGCTTGATTTGTCTGAACATAGCAAGACAAATAATTGTGTGAAGAACAGCTCTTAAATAAATCTGCCATTCTTCAGTGCATATTCTGTYGAGATGTGTTTTCATCTGTGAAACCAACCACTGAAATCCATGTTTTTCTTAAATCCCACCTGTGTTTTTGTCATGTTTTCCTCCCCCAGGTTTTGATCCGCAGGACAGGAATTCCCATCAGTTTGTCTGTGCTTTATTTAACCATTGCCAGGCAGCTGGGAGTCAAACTGGAGCCGGTGAACTTTCCCAGCCACTTCCTACTGCGATGGTGTCAAGGGAAGGAAGGGTGAGTGACCTCCTGAACTTTGAAATTGTGCTCACAGTGACAAAAAACAGAAAACATTTACAGCTTCAGACCTGTACCAGAATGTTCTATTATTTTCCATCTGAAATTATAATCTACACAGAAGGGAAGATCAGACCTCTAGGAAAGTTTTCCTAAACTCAAATGGAAACAGATTTCCTGCTTCAGGCCTATGTGAGAATGTTCCATTATTTCCCATCTGGAATTATGAGCTATACAGAGGGAGAGATTAGATCACTAGAGAAGTTTTCCTAGAACTCAGCTCTGCTGCTGCTGCTGAATAATAACCCATTTCCTGAAATAATGTACCCATGAGGTGATGTGAAGATTGTGGAAAAGAGTGAAGGTAGCAGGCAATCTGTTTAGGAGGGAGCTGAGGAATGAAGGACACAGGTTGGAAGTGCTGAGGGAAGGACAGAAACATCAAATCCTGCCTTACCACGAGGCCCCTGATCACAGTTTGGTCTCTTTGTTGCCTCTTTAGGAGCACAGATATTTTTGACTACACCTACATCGATGCCTTTGGGAAGGGAAAGCAGCTGACGGTGAAGGAGTGYGAGTACCTGATCGGGCACCACGTGACAGAGGAGTTCTATGGAGTGGTGACTTCCAAGGAGGTCTTGCAGAGGATGGTGGGGAATCTCCTGAACCTTGGCAAGCGGTGAGTTGAGGTTCCAGACCCTGGAAGAAAGGGACCCAGGGTGTATTATCTGCATATCCAACATTGCTGCTTCATGGTATTGCAGTGAGTGCTTCCAAAAGGTGTCACTCAGCCCAGGAGATCSTGAAAATTCTGTGTCACAGGGCACTGGCTGGGTGTTTTTTATCACCTGTATCTGAGCAGAAGCAAAAGTATTTAGTAAAATTTCCTCAGGAAGTTTTTTGACTTYAGTAAAGTCCCCCTCAGGAAAATAGACAAAATATTTTATTTCCTCTCTGAAAAGCTGATCCACCATCCCTTAAGAGCAGAGCCTTTTGTTATGTGATAAGCACAACCCCCGTGTTCCAGTGAGCAGTTTCGGAGCTCCTTTTTGTGTGTAGAACATTGGGTTTTGTTTTCCAGTGCTGCTGATAATCCCTTTCCCAAGCAGCCACAGACTCACAGGAGTGAAAGGATTGCTTGAGGTGTCAGGGGAACAAAAGCAGATTTCAGAAGGAAATGGCCTGGAGAGTGAGTTGTCTGTGTAGCATTGTTTGATCAAGGGGAATAGCACCAGAGGGAGGGCAAAGTGGAATGTTTTTTTCCTTGTGAGCAGGCTGGATGTGGTGAGTGACAATCCCTGCTGGAATCACTCTTGTGAGCAGGCCTGTAGCTGCAGCATCATTTCTGGGKGGCTCCCCCTGTCCCTCAGAGCCCTGGGGACAGGGGTTGCAGAGCCTTACAGCYGAGTTCCTTTTCTGCTGGCAGAGAGAGCACTGACCAGTCCTACCAGCTCCTGAGAGACTCCTTGGATCTGTACCTGGCCATGTATCCAGACAATGTGCAGCACCTCATGCTCCAGGCCAGGTTGTACTTCCACCTGGGAATCTGGCCAGAAAAGGTACCTGGGCACTGGGGGGAATGTTTTGGGGCAGGCTGAGCATTGTTAATGCCAGGTTATTGATTTTTGGGGCCTGCATTTCAGTCTGCCACGAGTTGTTGCTGTAATAAAAAGAAGTTGGAGGAGTTCTCACATTGCAGGGAATCAATCTGAAGCAGGGAGAGTGGATGATTCTTGCCTGCTTGTCCTAGGGGAGATTTGGGAGCAGCCTTGAGGCATAATTTATGATTTACAGCTTGTCTTACAACCAAGACCRTGCACTGAGTTACAAGAGAATCCTGTTTGCTCTGTGCCTGAATTGTGGTCAAACTCCTGCTGGGCTCCTGCAAAAGGAGCAGTGGCCTTATCAGAAAACTGCAGGAAGTTATCTTTTATAAATAAAACCAAAGCTGTTCTCCCAATCTCAGCCACGCAATCTGTGGCTGTTGTGAGAAAGCAACTTGATATTCCTGTCCTTGGAATTCCTTTTCCTTCAATGTAACAAACCCAGTCCTGTTATCTTGGGAGTGTGGGAAAGAAGGTGCTGAGATTTATAGGTTGTGTGGATCATCCAAGGCTTTCACTGAATCAGGGGAAGGCACAGGGAAGAGCCTGTAACTCAAAAAGTCAGATTTTTTTAGTGTGTCACTGCAGCAAGGAGGTGTTCCCTACTCAGAATTCCYTGTGCTGCCTCAGGGGAGCCTGTGCCACTTCCCCCTGTGAGGTTTGGGAAGGGGACAGGGATATTGGCTGGAAGCTGAGCAGAAAGCAAAGCTCTTCCCACCAAATAACTGCAACAGGACTGCTGGAGGAGCTGCCTCCCTTCCCTTTGAGGAGCAAACTTGGCCTTCCTTTCTTATGGCAGCAAATTTTAGAGTCACCACACTAGAAAAGCAATAAAAAACTGTGTGTGGGAAGGATTCACTGAGCTCAAATGCCAACTGGCCATAAACAGGGAACACTGAAAGATCTTCCTGCCCCTTCCTGGTGCCCTGGGATGTGTTTGGAGAGCACCACACTCACATTTGCTGCCCCTCAGAACACATAACCCAACCCCAGGACTGAGTTTTCCCCATAGTTCTCTGCACCACGTTGCAGATGCAATGGAAACAGGCAATTTTGGATTTTTCAGGATGGCATCCAGTCGTTCCAGGCTGTCAGGCAGGATTGTAGCTCAGCAGAGAGGATGCTCTGTGTCTGACAGGACACAATGTACCAGCTTTGACAGGGTCTGCCAGATTTATGGATAGGGGTAGAAAATCTGAAAAGTTCTGCAGAGCTACACATCATGTTGCCCTAAATATTTGTAAATAACAGTAAATAAAATTCACAAGAATCTCTGGCATCTGTGGTTACCTCCTTCCCCTTCCTTTAGGAGTTTTCAGGATTTTCACATCCTTCATTCTTAATAGAATTAAAGTGGCCAAGAAGCCTGAGCTGTGTTTCTTCTCATAAATTAGGCACCTGTTCTTTTTTTTTTTTAATTGATTTTCCTCATTTTTGGCTGCTGTTCATGCTCAACAGCCTGAGTTTTCTATTCCTCTTCTGCTGCTGCTGCTTTGAACTTAATGACCAAACCTTCCAGCACGTCATCAAGGAGACAATCCTTCTGCCAGCTGCCAAACTGTCAGATTTTGGGACTTGAGATATTTGATGTTGAGACAGAGATGTGTCTTCTCCCACCATGTTTACACAACAGGCTGGATTTTTTCCCTTACTTTTACTGGAAAATTTAAATTTTCATTGCCTGCCTGTAACAAACTTGGCAGCAGATGCTCTGGTGCTATGCCAGAGGGTGTTAGGAGACTGAAATTCTGGATCTGCAGGGCTCGCTGCTTTGCTTTGTGTTCTTTAGTCATCCTGAGACCAGCAGCTTTTCTGTCTTGTTCCCTGTTCCATGCTGAAACTTCACAGAGGTTATTTCCATTTCCTCCAGTGCTGCCCTGTTTTGGCTCTCTCACAGACATGCTGAGAAGTCCTTTTAAATTAAAATATTAGTTCTCAAGAGCTGCAGAAGTCACCTGGAATCACTTTCCAGCAGCAGTTTGGGACACTGGGAACTGCATTGTCATAACCAGAAACCTTGAGAGGTGGGCTGTGGTCACTAARTGGGATGTGATGGACTTGTGTGGCTTTGTTTCGAGCAGCTGCTGTGCTTGCCAGTGCCTTTCCTTGKAAGCTGGAAGCTTTACAAAGGGAAAAGGAATAGAAATAGGCTGTGATGAAGAAATCCTTGGGAATGTGTGGGAAGCAGGGAGCAGCCCTGTGAGGGAAGGTCTTAGGCCTGGCTCTCATACCCAGCAGTGTATCTGTGTGTATCTGTGAGTGTTGTGCTGCTGCAGGGCCGTGCCCTGAACCTGTTCCTGCCGTGTTTTGGAAGGTTCTGGACATCCTGCAGCACATCCAGGCCCTGGACCCATCGCAGCATGGGGCTGTGGGGTACCTGGTGCAGCACACCCTGGAGCACATCGAGCGGCGCAAGGAGGAGCTGGGCCCCGAGGTCAAGCACCGCTCGGACGAGAAGCACAAGGAGGTTTGCTTTTCCATCGGGCTCATCATGAAACACAAGAGGTGAGCCTGAAGCCTTCCCCAGCCTCTGCACCCACAGAGCACAGGGGTTTGTGCTGGCAGGAATGAGGTGTTTGGTGCCGAGGAGGAAGGGAAGTGCCGGGTGTGTGTGTCCATCCTGTGTGAGAAAATGGGAGCAGCTCCATGTAAGTGCCTGGAGAGAGCAAATGTTTGCACTGCAGACAGCTTGACCTGTCTTGAGTCATCCCCTGTCACACAGGTGACATGCCCAGAGCACAGAACTCACTGTGCAACAGAGTCAATTACAGAATCCGTTCTGATATGCCCAGGACAGTTTGTGGATGTTTCACTGTGTTCCCTCCTCCTGCACACAGAGGATTTGTGCTCCTGCCTGCCCTGGGTTGCTTTGGCCACTGCTCTGACTCACCCAAGCATCCAGAGCATGTTTTAGGGGCATCAGCAGTGATAGCTGTAACACCTCACAATCAATCCCATAAACATTCTGGAAATAGTATGGCTTCCTTCTCAGTGTTGGGATTACCCTGTCTGTGTGATGGGCTCAGAAATAATTGCACAACCCAGTGGTTGTTGAACCCTCCTTATTTCTTGTTTTCTCTTCTGCTTGCTGACATCCCAGCTCTTTCCCATTCTCTTTCTTGCTCACGTTTGCTTTTCCTTTGTCTTCAGCTGTTTATTCCTGTCTGTTTATCCAGTTGTTTCCCTTCACCTCAAGTTACAAACACAAAGTTTTTCTGAATTGTTKTTTTTTCCTCTTGTTCCTCTCCTCCTCCTGCCAGCTCTCAGGGGGTTCCTWTCCTGTTTGTGCTGTATTAATCTCAAGGAAAAAGAGCTGGCTCTGGTGTTTTCAACTGAATTTCTTTGATCAGGTATGGCTATAACTGTGTGATTTATGGCTGGGATCCYGCCTGCATGATGGGCCACGAGTGGATCCGGAATATGAACGTGCACAGCCTCCCCCACGGCCCCCACCAGCCCTTCTACAACGTCCTGGTGGAGGATGGCTCCTGCAGATACGCTGCCCAAGGTGAGCAGGAGCTCCTGGTCCACTCTCTGTCCATATTAGGACAAAGGGATGATTAAATTATTAACYAAGTGTGATTAGCAAGTGTTGTAAAGGTGGAGGTAGGAAGGAAAATGATCCTGAGTCGTGGCCTGCTCTGTTTGCTCTCCATGAAATCAGCACTGCTGGGAATGGACATGGAGGCCCGTTCTGGTGTCATCTCCCACTAGTCAAGAAAGTGTTCTGGGCCCTCTTATGGTTTGAACCTTAATTGCTGCTCTGAAAAAAGTAGTTCAGCTTTTGCTGAAGGTTGAAGGTCTGTCAGCAGCTTTGACAGCTGTGCTTGGACAGGACCTGGAAATGGGATTTGGTGAGGGAGCACACAGGATTGGTTCTGGCCACTGTCACGTGCCAGGATCCCAAGGAACACCAAYAACCTGGCTTTTAGTGCCACCTTTAACCAGAACAAAAATTAATGTCTCTTGATGAGTGCAGAGAAGTGTAGAAATCTCTGTGTCACATGTTCTTTATGCAACATAACCGTAAGAGGAAACTCTTGGTCAGGGTGTGTGGCTGGGGTACAGGGAGAGCTGTTGAACTGAAGTTCTCAAGAAAATTACAAATGAAAAGCACTTCTGTGGCTCTGGATATTGTAAAAATGTTAATTTGCCTCATGTTTGTGTACTTGCCTCCTGTTTGTGTATTTGCCTCATGTTTGCCATTCAGGCAGGGCAGCTGCACAGCCAGAGTGTTTTGCTAAGAGATGTGGAAGCTGCTGGAGGGAAAATCCTGACCAAAATGCTACTTCTCTGGGTGCTCCCTCCACTGTCTGGTCCCTTGGGTGTGACCAGAGGTGGTTTTACAGGAAGGGACACTCATACCTCTTTCCCACTGTCCTGAGAGTGGCCTTTTTACATTCAGCAGCCCAAAAAGATGAAGTGGGATTAATTCAGCAAAACCTGATGGCTCAGATTAGGCAGGGCTTGGCCTCTCAGAGAGTCTGAAAAACCAGAAATTCTTGTGTGCCATGGGTTGATATTAAAATATGCATCTGGRTAATTACCTAATCAGGTAATTGTCCCCAGTGCTGCTGGGGCTGAGTCATCACTTATCTTTTGTCTAATGATGTGAAAACAAACAGAAGCCTGGCTGGTCCCACGGTGCTGTTCAGGGTAGGCTGACACTGTTATCTCTGTGCAGGAGACAAGAGTTTTGATACTTCTGGGGAAAAGTGAAGGGTTTGTGCTGCCTGGCTGTTGATATCCTCTCTAAAACACATCCTCAGATCGTTTGGGAAGGATTATTTCATATCCTCCTGACTTGACTCTGGGGAKAGAGTGAGAGTTTTTTAATAGAAGAATCCTAAACAAATCCTCAATTTCACCAGCTCAGAAATAACAGCAAGCTTATTATAGATAAATGAACCTCAGYTTGAGGCCTTCCTGTAAATCTGTGGGTTGACTGTGGCTAATTCCAGAACTCCTGTGTCATGCAGAGAGTTTGGTACCTGTCCACTCYTGCCTGTGTTTGATTTGCTTTGTGACAGCACAGGAGGGAGATCTGTGGCTCAAAACTGTTTGTCAGCACCTTTGTGAGGCTCCCACCTTGTGCTGAACTCGTTTGTGTCAGCTTGTTCCAGCTGCCAGCTGCTGTTCCAGCCATCCCTGCTGTTCATCCATCCCTGCTGTTCCAGCCATCCCTGCAGCCTCATCCCAGAATATCCATCCCTGCACATCCATCCCATCCCTGCAGCCCCATCCCTGCAGCTCCATCCCAGAATATCCATCCCTGCAGCCCCATCCCTGCAGCTCCATCCCAGAATATCCATCTCTGCAGCCCCATCCCTGCAGCCCCATCCCAGAATATCCATCCCTGCAGCTCCATCCCTGCAGCTCCATCCCTGCAGCCCCATCCCTGCAGCCCCATCCCTGCAGCTCCATCCCAGAATATCCATCTCTGCAGCCCCATCCCTGCAGCCCCATCCCAGAATATTCATCTCTGCAGCCCCATCCCAGAATATCCATCTCTGCAGCCCCATCCCAGAATATCCGTCCCTGCAGCTCCGTCCCTGCAGCTCCGTCCCTGCAGCTCCATCCCTGCAGCTCCATCCCTGCACATCAATCCCTGCAGCTCCGTCCCTGCAGCTCCATCCCTGCAGCCCCATCCCAGCACATCAATCCCTTCAGCCCCATCCCTGCAGTTCCATTGCCACATCTCCATCCCTGCAGCTCCATCCCTGCAGCTCCATCCCTGCAGCTCCGTCCCTGCAGCTCCGTCCCTGCAGCCCCGTCCCTGCAGCTCCGTCCCTGCAGCCCCGTCCCTGCAGCCCCGTCCCTGCAGCCCCGTCCCTGCAGCTCCATCCCTGCAGCTCAATCCCTGCAGCTCCATCCCTGCAGCTCCATCCCTGCAGCTCCATCCCTGCAGCTCCATCCCTGCAGCTCCATCCCTGCAGCTCCATCCCTGCAGTTCCCTGTGCACAGCTCCCAGCTCAGCCATGCTGCTGCAGAGCACTCAGCAGTGCAGCTCATTTTCCGCAGTGGTGCAGTATCCAAAGGTCCTTTGCAAGCCTCTAGGACTGCACCAGCCTGCTGAGGGATGGAGAGCTCTGRTGCTGCTGGCTGCTCACCCTGCCATGCAGCAGCTTCAAAGAGCCAGCATGGATTAATAGGAATTCTCCGTGCTCCCTGTAATGAACTGGATTTCAGGGACAGATTATTCCTGAATGACAGTCTCTGCATCCCAGCTCATCCCTGCCCTGCCCAAAGTCAGCCTTTGATCCTTATGCAGCTTTTTTTTTTTTTCTTTCTTTTTTAATAGATAATACTACCTGTTTTATCTGGCACTGTGCTGGAAAAAAATGACATCATTTGGGGAATGCTGCAGGGCTGTTGCTTGTGGGTTTTTCTCCTGATCCCTGCTCTGCACCAACACTGCAGAGCACAGCAGCCCTTGGCTGGGGTCACCTTTGGGCTTTAGTGTTTAGGGGTCACCTTTGGGGTTTAGTGTTGTTTAACTCTTGTGCCTGACCTGGTTATCTTGTAGAACAAGGAGGAAAGGAGCTGTTGTGGGAAAGGATCAACGTGTCCTTAAGGACTTTGACTTGGGGAAGTTTGGATTTAGGGAAGTTTGTTTTGCTGGAGACAGGGCTGCAAACCAGGCGTGGTGGAAGCACAGGCTGAGGGGRGAAGCTCTTGGCTCCTCTGCCAGGTCAGCCTTGTGCAGGTGGGCTCACCCTGGAGCATTTGAGGGGGATCTCTCCTGGAATGGATCCCCAAGGGCTGTGAGGGATCCCAGCTGAGCTGAGTGCAGCAGCTTCTCTTCTGCTCCAACCCAATGCCAGGCAATCTCATGCATCAAACCGTTCCCAGCCCCTGCTCAGTGGGGCCATCAGGAGGTGAGGCTCTGTGAGCAATCACACTGCACATCTCCCCGAATTAGGGAGTTTTTAGTATTCAAAACATCGGAATTGGTGTTTCTAGAGACACAAACAAGGTCTGGGAGGGGCCCAGGATTCACTGGTGTTCCTGTGGTGATRACTGCTCCTTCCCTTCCCTCACAGAGAACCTGGAGTACAACTCGGAGCCCCGGGAGATCCCTCACCCCGACATTGGCCGCTACTTCTCTGAATTCACCGGCCTTCACTACCTGGCAAATACCGAGCTGGAAATTCGGTACCCGGAGGATTTGGAGCTCACCCGAGCCACAGTGCAGAAGATTTACAGTTCAGGCAAGGAGTGAGTGCCAAAGGCAGCCTGGGGACAGAAGCAGCTGGAGTGTAGCTTTACCCTCTTTGCAGAACTTGCGTGGGAAGCAAGTTTGGTGACAATCCTTTGGCTTAATGCATCGAAAACTGCATTGGACTTGGAAACTGGTGCTACAGCATCTTCCCCTCGTCTGCCTGCCCATCCTGGCCCAAGGCACAGGGACACTTTGGTACTCGAGGCCCAGCAGGAGCATCTGGCAGGGTCAGGAGCGTTGTCCTTTGGAAGGATCTGCACATCCTGCTCGTTCTGTGGTGGCCTTGCCTTAGAAGGTCAACACAGTGAGATCCCGATGTGGAATGTGGATGAGCCCCCCTCTTCCAGAGCAGGAAGTTGCTTGTCCTTACAGTATTGTGAGGTTTGTGTTTGGCTGTGTCTCTTTGGTTTGGTTTGAATGTCTATCCCATGCAGGYGATAGTTTTTAAAGTCTCTCCGTTTCACTGTTGTCTTCTCCGGTCTGAATCTTTGGGTCAGGTATCGCTTCACCTCTATAGTCTGATTGTTTCTAGAGCTCCTGTTCCAATTCTGAACATCCTTCTGGGCCTGGCAATATCCTTATGGGCCTGGGAAAGACAACCAGCAGCAGTGGGGCTCGTGGGGTGGCAAGCAGTGCTGACTCTGGGGGCCACATCAGCGATGACAAAGACTCCTCGAGCAGAAGAGGAGCTCCTGGCCCTTTTCCAGGCCTGCTGAATGCACCCAGCCCACGTTCTGACCTTGTTCTTTGGTCTGTCCATCATGTGTGTCCAAGGTGGGCTCCATGGCACAGCCRTGAGTGTTCCCAGGAGGATTTGGGACCTCGTGGGGATGTTGGTGGAACCTCGAGGGCAGCACCAGAATGACTTTGATGGATGCAGAGCTGCTGCTCGCTGCCGTCTCTGATCCTTTTTTCCAGTAGGTATTTATGCAATACAGTGAGCGATGACTGGAACTTGGCCATCCCTGGAATCAGCCAAACCATTAGGGATGCAAGACATTCATTCCTGCAGCTCGAGGCCTTCTTTCTTCTTGCCAAAAGAAAAGGGATTCTGGGGGTGTGCAGAATCCTCGGCTGCCTGCAAGGAAAGGGCTTGAGCAGCTCGAGGCACGTGAATTTGAACCTTGACTTGGAGGCCCAAGCAGAAGCACTGCAGCAGTGTTCCCTCTGGGCTCAGGGGCCGTGGGGTGCAGAGTGATATGTTTGTGCATATCTTTGTGGTTTCTGAAGCAATGTGTGTAGAGTAGCTGCACTTGTTTCTCCTGTCACTGTCCATTTGCAACACAGCAGTTCTCCTGTCCGAGCTGGCACTTAGGGCCCTGTAGAGGTAGGTGGATGCTCTTTAGTCTCGTACACACTACAGGAATCTCCACGTGGAATCACTCACAGCCCCCCTGTCTGGCAATGCCTGCCCTGCATGTCACCTCCTGCAACCCTGAGCACTGGTGTTCTGTGAGAAATAAATGCTGAGAGCCCGGCGCTGTGGTGGTGGTGGTGGTGGTCTGCAGGGGTCTGGGGGCTCCAGGAGCAGGAGCTTGTGGGGACAGGGTGAGGAATGCTGAGGGGTCTGTCCTCAATGCAGAACTCTGCCTTTAAGGAGTCAGAATCCCAGAATGGTTTGGGCTGGAAGGGACCTTAAAGCTCCCTTTGTTCCRYGGGCAGGGACGCCTTCCACWATCCCAGGTCRGTACTGGCATGATCCTGGAGAGAGGGAGGGAGGAATTCCCGTTGTGAAGTAGGGTAGGGAATCCTCAGGCAACAATCCTAAAATCCATCTCTTGTTCTTAAAGCTTGGAGTAGACGCCAGCCCTCCAACACGTTTTGAAAGCAGATCCAGAAAGATTCCTGGCAGGGATGCGAGGTTGGGAATGGGGGTGGTGATTCCCAGGGTAGCTGAGAACAGGTTTGGGCTCCCCGTCCCCATTCCCATTCCCATTCCTGTCAGTGAGATTCCTGGGGTTTTGTGCTCCCTTCTGTTGTCCTGGGCCTCTCTCCAGTGCATCCAGGGAATGACAGAGCTCCCAGGAGCCCCAGCAYGAGGAGCTGCCTGAGTGCCAGGTACAGCTGTGCTGTAAAAGAGCCAGAGGAGCTGACAGAAAACACCCAGAGTTTCCCTGAAAACCTACCGGGAGAGGTGCTGGGTGCTCCAGGGGTGCAGAGCTGCCAGCAGGGCCCTTTCTGCCCCTTTTGGGATCACTCTGTGTACCCTGAGGAGGGCTGGCCCAGGAGGAAGTGTGGGAGCTGCTGCTCACCACAAACTTCCCCATGGCTGCTGTTGCCAGGGGTGCAAGAGGGGCCAGCCTTGGGTGCTCGGGGTGCATCCTCATCCCTCTGGCAGGAGTTTTGGGGGGGGGGGAATTGGACAGCTCTGGGTGCTGCCCACATCCACACTTGTGGGTGTTGGGGTCACCCAGAGCACCAGCACAGCCTTGGATGTGCCAAATTTGGAAAAGACTGGACCTGGTCCAATCAATTTTCYGCACAATCTCAACCCAGGGTCCAAGTCAGATTTTGGGATTTGAGACCAACCCCGAGGGAATGCTGTGTTCCCTTTGTTTCCAGTTTGGGGAGGGTGTCCCCACTGCCTCCAGTGCTGCTTGTCCTGGGTGGAGTCTTTGGTGCTGGTGAGGAGAAACTCCCCTGTGAGTTCCTGCTGCCCTGGGAGGCCTCAGCCCAGCACYCAGCGTGGCCAGGGAAAGCTGGGAACCCCCCAGGACACCTTTTGGAATTCACAGGGGTTCCCACAGGCTGCACATCCAAGGTCCAACACAGCAGGAAAGCCCTCTGGGGGACGGTGGGGTGACATTTGGGGTTTGCCTGTGCCCCTTCCCCTCTTGGCAGCACAGTTGCCTTTTCCCCGAGAGGACAGCAGTGGATCCCAAAAGTTCCCTGTGTCCCTGAGCAATGTCCGGATCTGCAGTGTTCACGTTGAAGATGGTGCCAATGACATCCATCAGCATTTGTCCTGTCCTGTGTGTGGTGCTCTCCAGGAAGGGGTTTTGGCTTTCTGGAGAAGGTGGAATTCCCTCCCTTCTGCCCCACCAAGGGCCAGGTTGCTCCTGTGCGGTGCCAAAGCCCTCTGGTGCTGCATCCCTGGGGAGCAGGGGGTGAATTCCTGCCGTTAATGCCATGTTCTCCCTTTCCTTCCCTTCCATCCCTCCTGGGGACACAACACCCCCAGTGCTGTCACCTCAAAATCCGGAGGGTGAAGGAATAAAATACAGAATGGGGGAARAGGAGGCTGGAAAGGGGCAGGAAGGGAGGAGTAATCCCGGGCTGCATCCTTAGGGACAGCCGTGCGCTGGTTCTGAGCTTTGCCCCCGGCTCTGGGCGCTCRGGGATGTCTCGGGCAGCGCCATTCCCGGGGTTCCTCCGGCAGGGAGGGAGCCCTGGCAGCAGCAGAGCCCTGGSGAGGTTTATCCACCCTGGGAGGCCGAGGGCTCCGTGTGCTGCTGCCCAGGTCAGCCTGAGGAGCTGCCCAGCAGAGCAGGGACAGCTCCTGGTGCAGCATCCTCCTGGGARCCCTTCCAGAATCCCTCTGGATCCGTCCTGACACACAGGGACACGCTCGGAGCGCCCTGACCCAGCCAAGGGCGGGGACTGAGGCTCTGTGACCAACCATGGCATTTGTCTCCAGCCTCTGCAGGAACACCGGGCCCCTCCAGCCCAGCTTGGGGCCGGGGAGAGCCGCGTCCTCTGCGACACGGGAGGGGAGGAAGGGCTGCCCTGGGCTGGAGAAGGGTCCCTGGCATCTCCTGCTCCCTTCCAGGCCGCCTCCACCGCACACGGGCTGGCTCCAGGTCTGTCCCGACTGCTTCTCCCAGGGCTCCATGGCTCCCACCTGCATCCCTGGTGGCCCTTCCCCCTCGGGGACACAGGGACTGTGTAGGCAGGGACAGAATGCTGCGTGTCTGACCCCYTCCTACCTTCCTTCTCCCGGCTGGAAGCGCCTGGGCTGGGCGAAATTCCCCATTTGATGGAAAACTGCCGGCCCGGAGATGGAGGGTGAGGAGCCCTGAGCCCAGGGCCCCTGAGAGCTGAGCTCACAAGATGGACACATCTCTCCTTTCTCCTTTTTTATTTATAAACAGGTRTTTTCCTGGACAGCTGGAGGCTGGAAATTATTTCATCTCTTTCCCGTTTATATCTGGCTTTAAACAAATAAACCTTGACGTGCTACCTGCTGCCCTGGYGTGCTGTGCTTTTTGAGCTGCCTCCAAACCCCTGCCCTCGCTCCTGGAAGGGCTTTGCCGTTCGCTGTGCCCGTGGGAGGGTGACGTGTCCCCGCCGGTGCCAGTCTGGCAGGGAGGGAGATGGTGACAGAATCCCCCACCTCTGCACCGGGCTCTGTGCCCGCTGCCCCCCAGGGCTGGGGTCCCTTTGGGGCTCCTGGGTCACCTCTGCCCGTCCCCCTTTGTCCCCATCCAGGGGGACAGTGCAGTGCCAGGGCTGGGAGCAGCCGCAGAGCTCAGATGGAGCTGCTGCCGGGTATCCATAGGGGAGACCCCGGCCCGAATTCCCGCACCGGCGGCGGCTCCGTGCCCTTCTCCCGGGAACGCTCCAGAGCCGCGAGCGGGGCACGGCCGGAGGTGCCGCCAGCGCTGCCGGGGCTGTCCCCGCTCCCGGAGGGTCCCACCCCCGGCGGTCCCTGCGCTGCCTCTGGGCGGGGGCTCTCAGGGCCCGGGGCCGCCGCGCCGCCGCCGCCTCCCCGCCGTGCCCGCCCTTAAAAGCGGCGGCGGCTCCGGTGCAGCGCCCGCGGCGGCGCTCCCGGCACGGCCCGGGATGGGCTCCGCGCACTCCGTGCCCGCCGAGATGCGGGAGCTGGCGGACAGGACCGGCTGTGAGTACCGGGGACCCGCGGCCACCCCCGCCCCTGCCCGGAGCCTCCGGCGCCGCCGCCCGAGGGGACACGGGGGGACACAGCCYCKCGGGGGTGTCACCGGGGAGAGGGGRCTGTGCGGGACGTGTCACCCGCGGGGGGTGCGGGAGGTGTCACCCGGGAAGGAGGAAGGGGGGATGAACTGGAAATGTCACCCGGAGGGCCGGGGGCTGCAGGAGGTGACGCTGGAGCAGGGGAGGGGGATGCGGGACGTGTCGCGTCACCCGCCAATGGGGAGGAGGCAGGAGATGTCACCCGGGGAGGGTGCAGAGGTGTCACCCGGGGTGGGGAGAGTGCAGGACGTGTCACCCGGGGGACGGAGGGGGAAARGGGCACGGTGCCAGCGTGTCACCCTGGCCGTGCAGCCGTGTGTGTCCCCGCTGCCACAGCGCCACGAGCCGGGGCGTCGAGCGGCCACACGTGCGATCCCCAGCTCCGCTCTGCCCCCCGCGCCACCAGCGCACGGAATTGTCCCCGCTTGGCTGCTCGGCCCCGGAGCCACCGGGCCGTGACACCCCCGCGCTGCTCGCGGGGCTTGGGGACCGAGGAACCAGCGGGGGAAGGAGCGGGGACACGGCCCGGGGCTCCCGCGGGGGTCGGAGCGTGGGACGGGGTGGTCGCGTCCGTCCTGGGAAGTGTCACCGCTCCAGGACGTGGCGAGCTCGGGGCACGGAGATCGGGGCGATCCCTTCTGGATCTGCTGAGGGGCCAGAGGGTCTGTGGGGGCCGAGAGGGTGCAGGGACAGTCCCAGCGCTGCTGCTGCTCCTGGGGTCACATCTCCCTTCATCCTCTCTCCTCCCCCTYCAGGGAGGGCTGAGACCCCTCGAGCACCCCGGGGCGGGCTCAGGAGCTTGGGGGACCCGCGGAGTGCCATCCTGGCAGCCCAGGGTGGGAGGGGGTTTTGGGGGATCCCCCCGGCCCGGGGACCCSCAGCAGCACCTCCGGCACAGGCGGCACCGGCACCCCCTGAATCAGCCCCAGGGGAGGGTTTGCAAGGGCAGCACCCGAAAATGTCMCCGGAGCCAGAGGAGAGGGGGCGGGGGGAGCCCCTGACTCCACGCCATGCCCGGGGTGCGTGTCCTGSGCTCCCGGTGGGGTTCACAGAGCTCCCACCGTGCCGTGGCTGCGGCCAAAACCCTCGGGAATTCCGGGATTTCCAGCCCGGAGCAGGGCATTGCACCCGCGGGAGCAGCAGGGACAGGGCAGAGCCACCCGAATGTCCCCGTGGTTTGTTCCTCTCCCTTCTCCCCCATGGAGGGGCACCCTGAGGRGCTGCCCGGGGCTCTGGGGCCGGCTCCCCTCCCTCCCTCCGTGTGCTCCATCCCAAAGCTGCAGCAGCATCTTCCCAGGCTGATGGGATCATTCCCTGCCCCCGGGATGGTCTGAGCCCCCAGCGCCCCTTTCCCTTGTGCTGCTCTTCGCTCGAGCAGCACAAACCAGGCGGGGCTGGCAGCAGCAATCGCGGCTCCCTCGGGTTTAAATCCCTTTTTACCTCCTCCCTTTTAAATTCCGTGTTTAAATCCCGTTTCTCCYCCCTGAGCAGAGGCCGTGCAGGACACGGGCCTGCAGCACCAGGGTGCGTCTGAGGAACACGAGCA